GTAGATGGTGTTTCGTACGAACTGTCCACTGCGGAATGCACCGTTCTGATAGGCAGTTTCAACGCGCATGTCAGAGCAAACACTGAAAGGTGCAAAGGCGTGGTTGTAACGAACCGCCCTGGCGACCTCAGCAATAACGGTGTGAAGCTGCCGCCTTCCGTGCAAACAACAGGTTGTATGAACAGCAGTCGAGCATCGAAGCATGCATCAGTACAGGTGGTGTAGGGCAGCTAATGCACAGGAGTCGATGATCGATTTGTTAGCCGCTTCGCCTCACTTGCGACACTTTGTAATGAATGATCGCATTAAGAGAGAAGCAGAGCTGTTAACAGACCATCACCTTGCTGTTCGCGCCATCAACTACAAATGATCTGGAGGCAGAAGCATGCAGAGAATCGCAATCTTCCGCGGTACGAGCACTAAACTTGCAAACAACATCGCACGACGGCTTGAACAGATCCCTGTGATGACCGCTGATGTGCAAACGGCGTGGACGCTGACTATGGCGGCTTGAAACTGGCTGGCCAACTGCCCGAAGATTACAAACGAATTTACTCACAAATATGAGAGGTTTTAACTTGCTCTCAGGGAGCAGGCTTTATTCAACAGTGGCTTTGGACCAAAGAGCCTTCAAGTGAAGTACAGTACACGCGCAAGGAGGTAACATAAGCAGTAGCCAAGGCGAAGACTGATTCCTGAAAAAGCTCGATGAGGTGCTGGAGTCGAATTTCCATACGGCAAACAATGTATTCTGGCAGACCATCGGCGCCTCCAAGACAAAAAGAGGACCAGTCAGGGAGTCGTGAGTCAGATTTGGACACCTTCTTACCAACGATGAGGAGATTCTGCAGCGATGGAGAGAGTATCTAAAGAACTGCTCGCTTCAAGAGCAACAGGCAACGAATATTAGAGTTTCAATAGATGAAATTACGGCAGTTATTAAGCCGGAAAAATGGCAAGGCCGTTAGAATCCATGCTGGAATCTGCCTTGAAATGCTTAACGCTCTAGGCGAGTAAGACATGTTTCGGCTACCACATGTTTGTTACAGTGCAATGGCTGCGGAGAAGACATCGATAGACTGGAGAACGGGGTTGTACTACCTCTGTTGAAAAGAATTGCCCTATGGAGTCTCCAAATTATCGAGGCATCACCTTACTGATCCTCTCTGGTTGTCTTTTGCCAAAGTTGATATTTCGGAATGGAAACGTTTTCCTGAACCGAAGAATCATTTGACAAGTGGCTCAGGTCACATTCAATGTGTTTTCTCAACGTCATGCGAAACGGATAGAAATAAATTTTTAATCAGTGTTTTAATCAGTGAGGAAAACTTCAAAGGCTTAAAGAAATCTATCAAAAAATTGTTTATTCGTGTTTGAATCAAAATATGAAATTCCGGTACGGCTAATGTTGCGAATTAACCTTTCTAAGCTAAAAAGATTTGCGAAAAATATTGATACTCAAACTGACATGGAAGGAGGTGTCGATTTTCTGCCTAACTAACAGTAATCGCTTTCAAATGCATGGATCAGAGACAACAAAAATGAAAATTCTCTGTTTGCCGACTTTTTTCGAAGTCGGCCACCAGCGTCGTCATCAACGCAAATATCAGAATAACATGTTCGATGAATGGTTCCAGTCTGCAGTGTATTCAGCACCCAGAAATGAACATTCCCAGAGAGAGCAGTTGAACATTGCGAAGAACAGCTTATGCATTTTTAGCAGACACCATACGGATTGCGGAACAAACACTACACCATGCCCTGAACCTTAATTAATGATGACACACGGTAGGACAGGGTATCGAAAGCTTCGGTAAATAACGGATTTTACGTAATCAGTTTCAGTTACTGGTCTGAACCATGTATCTGGAAGGGAGGACCATTAGAGGGATGAGTCACAGTCAGTAGCAGAAGCAACGAACAACATGAAAAGCCTACTGCAAATCTACGCATCGGTCTGTGTTCCACAGATATGGTTCCGGGCAAAATTGACAATGTTCTTGCAAAGTTAGTTGCTGCTAGTTCAGAATCAAAACGGCCCTGAAGTGGGCGTATGAAACCGTTAGAAAAGACTGTCTATCCGTTCAACAAACGCCGTCGGACTGTCTTAAATATATCACGGTTTTGCCGTGTTTGTCATTGTGAGTATCAAGGCTGTCGACATGATAGATACATGCAAGATTAATCATTAATTAATTCTAGTCCAGAGACGACTACAGGCTTTGGGGTAGTGTATTTTCAGCATGTAAATCGGATATCACAAACTGAAACCAACTGTTTACCGGTGGATTTGGAAAGCTGTCGTCCTTAGTAGCTAATCCGGAACACAAGGATTGTATCATATATAACTTTGTCTATAATCAGTATTAATAGTGAGTAATAGTAATCAATAAATAACTATGCAAATGTATGCAAATAATTATGCGATATCAATAATAATGTGAGTCGAGGGCAAACGGAAACAGGCGGTGATAAGGCTATGCTAAAAATTAACTATGATACAGACGCAGTTCTGCATCGACGAAATTGGAAGAAAAAGCTCTTACTACCCGGATTACTGATTAGGGTAAAAAGCATGATGCCTTTATCATC